AGAACACCTTATCTTTCAAGCCAATCCATTAGTCTTTCAAAATGTTATATTGGTGCAAACATTTTTTAAACTTCACTTTGGCACCCATATACATTTCTTTTATTTCAATTTACATTTTAGTTCCATTGGATTAAATGCTTCAAATCTTTCTATTTTCTTTTAATTAAATAAAAATATGAAAATGTATACCCATAACTGAAACCTGAAAGTACCCTTTTTTTTTTTTAATCCAATAAGCAATTTAATATTACTAACAAAAATAAAATCCATCTTTACTTATTTAACAAGATCTTACTAACAAGCAATTTAGCAATTTAGCAATGTGAAAATTGAAATTTGTTTTTTTCTTTTTCTTTTCTGGGGGTGCTTAAATGGGAATATGTTCACCAAATATAATTAAAGAAAAAAATAAAAAAAATATTGTTAGAAATGCTCTGAGGTGTAAGTTTGTAGACAATGGCTTACATATCCCTCAATGGAACATCCTTAAAATTGAATAAATTATCACACAAAGAATTTATGACCTTTATTTTAGTCATAAGCACACTCACGAGTTGTCACGACCCAAACCCGGCCCTATGGGTTTAGCACCGTAACCGGCCAGTAATCCGGGATTACCGAAGGCCTGCAGAACAGTAATACAGTAAAACAGAGTACAGGGCCTGGCGGAAGCCAATACAGTAAACAGTCAAACAGATAGAATGCAATTTAACTAACATATACTCAATCAATTCGGTTTCCAATTTCAGTCAGTCAGTTCAGTACTTTAATCAGTTCAATTATCAGTCATAATCAATTTAGTTTAACGGTAGTCGATGGTTATCGGTAATCAATCAGTCATTAATCAGTAAACAGTATGAGGGTTGTTACACGAGTATTACTATAAACAATATGCATTGCTCTATCAATCATGCTTAGCTCACTAGCTCTCATGTGACAGATATATTATCAACAAATGAGAATCAATCTCTCTCTCTCTCTCTCTCTCTCTCTCTCTCTCATTTTATATTTTGTAATTTTTATGATAGAGACTTCAATTGATTGACACTCACATACAAGATAAAACTTTATGAATAAATTTTGAATAGGTACAATCACTTGTCGTAAATTATATGCATGGTTTAAGTTTAAGTGTTTCACATTTTAATGTACTGTTTATTTTACTCGAATGAAAGTTATTTTTTAATCTCTTTATGAATGACTAGTAAGAAAAGACAATTAATTTTTTCTTTTCTCATCTAAATAAAAATGATAATTATTTCTTCGTTTTTTTTCCCCACATTTTATACCAAAATAATAAAAATCAAACATGAAATCTCTAAAATTATTTCATAATCATATCCAAATCTTTTCCATTGGATCACCCACCCCAGGTTCAAACTAGACAATTTCTCTCTCTCCCTGAAGCATTGAAGTGATGAAGAATTAAAATTACAACTATCATTGTCATAAATCATATATGAGATGATAGGGAGAAGAAAGATTGTGAGCCACAACTACAAAGGCATTAAGTGATTGACAGGTGAGAAACAAGCAATTTCTTGACAAAGGTTTAATGTGGTGGGAAGCCATGTGTCTCAGAAACAGTGCAGAAACACCCCCATAACAGCTGTTTCTTGATTAATTTGACTTTTTAACAACCTCTCTCAACTTCATTGTACAACTGTTGAAATGGATTATGAATTGAAATAACTCAATTCAAGAATGACCTATCTAGTAAACGAGTTGAATTGAATTGGTAAGTCAGATAAATCAACTTGACCAACTCATCTATTTTGAGAGGTGGAGGAGGTGGTGGTGGTGGTGGTAGTAGTAGGCACTATAACATATAGGGATTTTATGGACTAAACCTTTTCGTCTCCAAAATTGAAATTTATTATAAAATTAAGGGATCAACTCCCGTTGTTAGAGAAGTTGAAAAAATTACTTTTAGCAACAAAAATTTTAAAATATTGCTTATAAATGTTATAATACGGATAAAATAATTTAGTACCAGAAGTTTACTTTTTCAAACAAAAAAATTTATACCAAGAGAATAGTAATTTATTGTTAAATGTCTAATTTTGTCAATAAAAATACAATAATGATATTTTTGACAACTAAAATATTTCGTTCAAAAAAGCGATTTCAACCATAAATTTTTATCTGTAGAACCTTAATTTGTTAAAGTGAAAGTGGAGGTGAAGGTGGCGTTGAAGTGGTGGAGGTGATGGAGATGGTGGGGTGGTAGTAGTGGTAGGTTCCTTTCTTTGTTTTTTTTTTATTGAAACTAAACAAGTACTCATGTTCAACTATTTAAATTCAATTTTAGATAAATTTGTAATATGCAACCTATTTAAAACTCATTTATGAATTTAGATGAATTTTAACATGATTTCTAGTTTAGTTTGGCAAACTCTAATATGCATAACCTATTGTGACCAAACTTCAAACCACCTGCAATATTTGAATTACTTCAATGTACAACTGTGTGTGTGTGTGAATGCTAAATGTAGTTCAAATGCTAGCTGTGAAATTTCATATTGATCTCTCTGTCTCCGTAACATCATCTTATACACAATAAAGCACTGAACAGCAATTAGGTGTTTTAGTTGTCCCCACGTGACATCAAATGTAATGAATTATGAATTTGATGCATCAATTCAAAACAAATGTAACCATAAATAACCACCATTTCATGTGAGCCATGTTGCTGTTCTTTATCTGTATATTTTTGAATTCTTTGAAATTGGACTTCATCAAGAAAATTTTTACCCATTCCAAGCTTCAACACGGGCAGCATTTTATTTGCATATAGGATTAGGTGAGATATCCAGAGAAGGGTATATTTGTAATTTTGCAACAAAATGTTATTGTATGACGAGGCACAAAAATAAATAAATAAATAAATTTAAATAAAATAGTTGGACACACCATACACCAATCCAAAATTTGAATTTTGTTGATTTTCATTGAAGAATTCAGTTAATTCCCACCTTACTGCCACCCACTACTACACAACCGGATCCTATCGATGCCACCTTCGCTACCCCGTCTCTTTTCCCTCCCTCCCCACACCTCCCCTTCGGTCCTTGGTGTCTCCACCTATTCATTTCCGTCCCATCAAAACTGTCTAACCCCACTACACACTATCGCTCACACAGAGAGAGAAGGAAAGGAGTGGCGGCAATTTGCAAATCTAGGGTTTTATGAAAGGGGTTGGTGGCAATTTGCCGTAGTAGGAGAAGAAGAAAAAGGAAGGAGGTCAAGTTGACGGGGAAGGAAGGAGAGAGAGCTCTTCTAGAGGAGGTGAGGCGAGGGAAGGTGTCCGAAAAAAGGAAAAGGAGGTTGCAGGAGGTGGTTGGGGAGGGAAAGATGGACTGGGGTGGCTGGCTGGCTAGGGGTTGTCTCTTTTGGTAATTTAACTTTGGGGCAAAACGGTATTATAAAAAAATTAAGAATATTTTTGGTGTGTAAAGAAAAAAAAAAAAAAAAAATCATTCAGGTAAATCCCGAGTCACAAAATTTGAACCAAAGCAAGATTATTTAGTGTAATCTAGCTCCCTCATCCGCAGATGAATTATGGTACCTGTATAATGGACTATGCTCTGCTTGTAAATTCATAGGTTACTATAGCTAGTATGCTTGCATTGGGTGAAGATCTCTCTCTCTCTCTCTCTCTCACATATTTTTATACCAATTAAAGATGCACACAGACGATGTCTAGTATCAACATAAATCTTACAGTACAATTTCGTTCTGAGCTCTTCACCATTGCCTTCTATTCTGTCCATGGATCTTCTTCACCAGCAGCTCTGGAAGTAGAAATTTATGGCTTCTGCAACCCTCAATAATAGCAAGCATTTAAAACCTAATGATGGTGTAGCAAAAGTAAATACCAGCAACTCCATTCACCTACCCAAAAAAAAAAAAATTACACAAGCATTACACGCATGAATTTTCATTGTTTTGGCTTTCAAAAAACACAGAGAATGAAAATGAAATAAAAAAGTTAGATAGCATGCACCAAAAAAAAATATATATATATATGATACCAAACAAGATAATTATATTTGAAGGATATCAATTTGAGTAATATATACATGAAAAGGAAATACATAGCATTCACCCAAATTTGCATGTGAAATAAGAAAAAAAAAGTAATACTATCAACATGTTTTGATGATGATCGAAGGCCAACGGTTAATCATCCGCTAGGAAAGTGAGACAAATTAGATGGTTAAAACATCCAATTCCATTAAACTTAAACCTTGAAATGAGATTATTAGGACTTAATCTTGTTTCAAAATTTCAAAATCATGAAAATTATACTAATTTCTTGTATAATCACCCAACATTAAAACAAACTATGGGAAAAAAAAAATTAATTTTAGACCATTGAATTGTATTACATAGTCCTACATAGATGGCAAGTGCACATAATATAAGGGTTTTCTCTTCTGTATTGTATTATATAGTCCAACATAGATAGAAAGTGCGCATAATATGAGGGCTTTCTCTTCTCCCTACCATCAGGATATTCATTCAGGTGGCTCAAAATGAGAATATACTGGAGGGTCGTTAGGTAAATTCAACTGGGGACTGGTTGAAAAAGGCCTTTGCCAGTACATAAATCCACTTCCTATTTTTTCTTTCACTATCTGACAGACTCCACATGCCCGTCCAGATTCAAGACCCACCCACATTATTTTGTCCTCAAGAAAAGTGGAAGAAACTAATAAGCAAATGCACCAGATCTGACCCACATATTTTGCTCGTCTCTCTCCCTCCCTCTCTCTCTCACACAAATACACACACACACGCACTCATCTTTAAAAATGCCACTACTGTCTCACCCCCAATAAATTACACAATGCCTTCATATATTGCACCACATCCCCTTCCAAAACTCTACCCTCTATAGCAGTCTTTCCTTGAGAGAGCCAAAAGACAAAGGCATAAACTTGTTTGGCATGTGAAAAAACCACACACACACCCCCCCCCCCCCCCCCCAAAAAAAACCCCCCCAAAAAAAAAAAAACATCTCTTCTTGGGTCTGCAGATTTTCCCTGAAGTTTAAATTGATAGTCATTTTGAAGGTGGGGGATAGATTAGTGGAAACAGTTAGGTGTAGGGTCATTTCTTTTTCTTTTTTTTTTATTCCTTTTGTGTTTCACAGTAGATATTGTCTGCCTTTTTCTGTAAAACACACAAAAATAAAAACAAAAAAACATTTATTTTATTTCAGTTCATCCCTCTCCCTCTTTATATCTGTTATTTCATCCTCTTTCGTTTCTCAGACTCTTCTCCAAAATCCTAAACGCAAAAGAAGTATCAGTCAGTTCAGCTAAGGAGAGCAGAGTTCTATAAAGAAAGCCGAAATGTACTGTCTTTGACATGTTATAAGCTGGAAACATTGCCATTACTTGAATGGATGCTATGCTCTAAATCTCTTAGAAAAGTCAAAAACCAGCTACTCTATTGGGTTTTCTGGGATTTATTCATTTTCCAGGAAAGTTTAAGGAGAGAAATGAAAGCTCAGATGGCATAAGTTTTTGGGCTTTTAGAATTGAAGAAAAGAGGTGGAGATGTCTGGAAAGCTTCTAAATTCTTTCAGGGATGAAAACAGAGATTTGCAGAAGCAGATAGGTTGCATGAATGGAATATTTCAGTTCTTTGATGGCCGGCATTTTCTCAGCAAACGCCGAATCAGCAGCCAAAACCAGAAGAGACTACCTCCAGGTATTTTCTATCTTTCTTATCCTATGTAGTGTTCAATTTCAGCTATACCTTAGTTGCTTCAAGCTATATGCATTCTATATTGGCTCTGTAAGTTCATGTTTCCTGATGCAAAATTCCAATTGCGACATTGAAATATGTTATGAAGAAATAAACAAAAACGAGAAGGTAAAACAGAAAAACACAAGAATAGTAAGATACATGTGGTTCAGTTGTAAGTCTATGTCCACAGGCAAAGAACAGCAGAGGGTTTCACTATGAAAGGAGGAGACATTATAAGGAGAGGCTGTCTCTCTCAAAGCTGTCTGTTACAAGAGTTCACTCTAATCTCATTACCCTGATCCCAGAAATAACCATTAATATATACTAAGATTGGAATACAACAAGAACAGGGTTGCAAACAGTTCATAATCACAAACCAGGGAGAATATGAGACACCCACAACAATATATACATATATATATATATTATGTATTTCTTTGGTGAAGTAGTCAGTTAGCACTTACCATATTGTCAATAATTCTGTTGTGGGATTCAATTTCTTGCATTTTCCCATCTTGCATGCATATTAATGATCAATTACTAAATGAAGTGGAAAAAAAATTAAACTAGAATTGATCACTAGTGCCTAGAGATTGAGACTCTGCCAAGTGTCCATAAATTGGTAAATGCTTATAGACAATTTACAGTTCTAAAAGATACAGAATTCACAACATTGCAAGGTTCTCAAAAGACACCTTTTATCCATATTTAGGTGATTTGCAGGTACTCCACTGAAGCATTGTCATTGTTCTAAAATCATCTACATTTAGTGGTTCAAAATGTAGACGACTAAAAAAAATAAGAAAACTGTAGACTACTACTTCTCAAGATCAAAAAAATAAATACATCTATATATATATGAGGACCACTGCTTGTATATGGGTTATAGATGCTTTATTGTCCTTTTATTCGCATTGCTTTGTCTAAAAATTCTAAATATTGCTTTTCTTTGCAAACTTGAGTATGTATTCATTTCTGCTAATGACAAATGTAAAATATCTAAATTTTTTTACCATCACTAGCTTCTAATATTTCAAGATTTTGTGCAGGTCAAAGTGGCAACCATGGAATGGAATCCAGCAGTATGACGCAGGAAACCATAGTAAGATTGTAAAAACTAAATTGCTTACCATAGGTGATCTTCAGTACAAGTACTCAAAGTATGTATGGCTTAATTTCAGGAAAATCTCCCAAAGGAGGAGGCCGTGAAAGAGAAGCAGGGAGTCTCAGTCGAATCCTCCAGAACCTCTGTTTCATCCTCTTGTTCATCTACATTTTCGTCAGTTGATTGCAATAAAATAGCTCATCCTGAACCATCTTCCTTCGGCCATAGCATTTTCCCTGGAACCAAACAGTCCCTTGATCTCCGGGATGTTGTCAAGGACTCAATCTCCAGGGAAACATATGGGTTATCACTCAAGACTAAAGTGAAAGGAGTGAGACATGTTGTGAAGAATGTAGATTCCCCAAGGCCATTGCAGCTGTCTAAATCTGTAAATCCGGAAGTTTCTAGTCTGGATGGATCGTTTCGAGTTATTGCTAAGCTTCGTGAAGCACCTCAAAGTTCCAACAAAGAGAAGTCTCGGGCATTGTCACTAAAGGATGCCCCTCGGTTCTCTTATGATGGAAGGGAATCACGAGATACATGGAAATCTTCCATAAAGCTCAAAGAGCTCTTCCCAAGACTATCATTGGACAGTAGAGAAGGATCCATCAGGAGATCTGCTTTTGAATCCAGATCAAACTATCTTTTAGATGATCTACAGAGGAGAAATGGGAAGACCATTGAGCCAGAAAGTACTAAACAACCAACTAGTGTGGTAGCAAAGTTAATGGGATTAGAAGTTTTTCCGGATTCTGTGTCCGGTAAAGACGATCAGGAAAGGAAGATTAAATGTTTCCCTGATGAGGGTCTTGATACAATTTCAAATTCATCAAGAAAAGCTGATGAAAGCAAGCATAACCAAGTTTCGAGGTCTCCAAGAACTCTCCAGAGAGAACCTGCCTCGCCTCAGTTGAGAAATGTTAAAGGAAAATCAAAATTTCCACTAGAACCAGCTCCTTGGAGGCAGCCAGAAGGGAATCGAGGCAGTCGCAAACCAGTTTTCATATATCGGGAAGCAAACACAAAGACCCAAAATTCATGCCCTTCTGTTTACAATGAAATTGAGAAAAGGTTGACAGAACTTGAGTTTAAAAGATCTGGCAAGGATCTGAGAGCTCTTAAACAGATACCTGAAGCAATGCAAAAAACTAAGGAGAAGCTAGATGCCTCAGATTCAGAGCCTCAAACAAGCACTCCCATCCCAAATTACCGCAACTTTGGTCAGAATTCTATATTACCAATACAGCGCAGCCAGATTACTCCCACCATGAAATCAGAATCCTCTATTGTGATCATAAAACCCGCTAAAGTTGTTCAAAAACCGAGAAATGCGGGTTCCACTGCAATCCCAATTGAGGGTATATCGGGCCTCCACATACTCCGGACCAGAAGTAATACAGATAGCAGAAAGGATTCCGTTGACAAACAATGCAATCCCAATTGAGGGTATATCGGGCCTCCACATACTCCGGACCAGAAGTAATACAGATAGCAGAAAGGATTCCGTTGACAAACAAACAGCCAAAGATCTGACTCCGAGAAACAACCATTTTAGAGAACCTTCATGCCGGCCTGTCCATTCCATGGATAAGATTACCAATGCCAAAACATATAGGTCAACACAAACTACAAAGGCATGAGCCCAAGACTACAACAGAAGAAGCATGGGATGGAGAAGCAATCTCATCCAACCATCCAGACATCTGATTCACGCAGGGCCAGAAGGCATTTGACTAAGCAGCAAATACAAGCAGGTTCCCCAAGTAGAAAATTCAAGCCCAAATCTCCCAATTTGCAACACAGTGATGATCAATTGACTGAGTTCAGTAGTGAAACAAGACACCTGAGTCACCAAGGTGATGCGATTTCTGTACAATCAGAAAGCAATACAAGTTTGGCCTCAGAGACTATGGACATAGAAGTCACAAGCACTGATCGCTCCAAAGAAATCAATGGTGCAAACCTGCACAAGAATCAGAAAAATGAGGTATGTGTCATTACTCTTGTTTGTTCTGTTTTCATAATTGTCACTCCAATCAAGTGGTTAACAGGCTCTTCCTTTTTTTCCACTCAGATAGTGGCAAGGTTGATTAAAGACAGATCAAAAGCTGAACTAACAACAGCCACCTTGGAACAACCAAGCCCTGTCTCTGTTCTTGATATTACATTCTACGGAGAAGAATCACCGTCTCCTGTAAAGAAGAAATCAAATGCTTTTAAAGGTGAGCTCTTGACATGTGAGACATTTTAATTAAATATTGCACATTCATACTATAGATGATCATATTTCTAACACTGGAGAGTGAAACAATGGCCACACTTGACATACACTGACAGATTGAGCACACTTAACTAGTAAAAGAGTAAACATGATTCAGGAAACACAAAAATACAGCTTCAACTTGAGTGATTGTGTCTTCTTTACTCAATAAATGTTTCATTTCATGGAAAGAAACTAATGGAACTTCTTTATTTGTCGTCGCTCCTTTTTTTTTTTTTTAAAATTTTTGATACAGATGAGGAGACCCTAAATTCTGATGAAGCGGAATGGAATTTGGTAGATCTACATGACTTGCTGAACAGCAAAAGACCACATCTCAGCCCTGACTTTGGTCGAGAAAAATTAGAAAACATCAAGCACTTGGTTCATAAGCTCAGACAAGTGAACTCCACACACAATGAAGCTTCTACAGATTACATTGCATCTCTTTGTGAGAACAAAAATCCAGAGCATAGATACATTACCGAGATATTGTTGGCATCCGGAATAATGCTCAAAGATCTAGGCTCAAGCTCGACAATCATTCAGTTCCACCCATCGGGCCATTTGATCAACCCTAATTTGTTCCTTGTCCTGGAACAAACTAAGGGCAGGATTGAACTTCCAGATGATGAACGCAGCACTGAAAAGATTGACAAATCAAAATTCAATCAGAAAATCCACAGAAAACTTATATTTGATACTGTCAATGAGATCCTAGTCCACAAAGTAAGTTCATTAGGTTTTTCTGAGCCATGGATCTCTCCAAACAAACTGGGAGTAAAAAGCCTCAGTGGACAGAAGCTTCTGAAAGAATTGTGTTCGGAGATGGATCATCTGCAAGCTAAACCCAAATGTAGCTTAGGTGATGAGGTTGATGGTTTGATAAGCATCTTAAGTGAGGATATGAAGCATCAAACACAAAATTGGGAAGACTGCCATACCGAGGTTCCAGGGGTAGTATTAGACATCGAGCGCCTAATATTTAAAGACCTGATTGGTGAGGTTGTGAGCGGTGAGTTGGCTGGTCTGCAATGTAGGCAAACCAAGCATTGCAGGCAACTTTTTTCCAAGTAGTGTTTTGATCTTCTATTCCCTTCCAATGTTTTCCTTCCCTCTTTTGTTTCTAGAGTAAAAGCATAATAATTCATGAATGAGAACTGCATCTGTTTGCTGGCCTGTAAAGAAAATATCTTCCAGTGTTTATAATTATAACACAAAGTTTATTATACAAGATGTAAATATAAGAATACTTCAGCTTTTCATTTTTTCATTTTTCATGTGTTATACATTCATAAGAGACCGAATTGTAATGAATTCAGAACAAGGCATGATATTTCTTTTTGGGTGGAAATATGAAAATTTATTAATGCAAAGCTGAAAGCTACAAAGAATATAATTTCTAACACTCAAATCACATGAGTACATGCGCCTGCACTAGTATTCTATGATTAATTCAGTGCCAAAATTGGCCTCACAAGCCACATATTTGACAACATATTTCATATTGCTGCTACATTTGTAACCTTCACATCTTTGACATGGTGCAGCAATATCCTCCATTCAACAGTGCCTCAAGTTCAAGATACAAAAATAAAATGAAAAGAAGAAGGAAAGAACACACGTCTGAAACAACCATGAATTATCTGGTTCTATTACAGCCACTATCAAAGACATACCTCCAACTTTTTAAACTCTAGCAGTCAGTAATATGCATATACAGACAACTCCATGCCCCTTGACTTTGACTACCCTGGAACCAGCAACTCCTACCAGTTTCCTAAACAAGTATACAAATTCTAATCAAACCAACCTAATTTACAACTGAACCAATTCTTGTGGGTTTTCCATAGATTCCTTCAAAATTTGCTCAGCCCTGCTTTTCTTGTCATCCTTCTCATTATTATCCTTGAACCAGGAAGTGATTTTGTCAATATCCTCATTCCGGAGGCTCACTGACGTACCTGAGGACTTCTTGCCAATCCCAAACTTAAACTGCACAGCGGGCCTTGTGTTCAGAAGAGCCTTTTATGTACCCTCTTTGGAATTACATGTTGTGCTCTCCATTGCTTCTATAGCTGGAGCGAACATTGCCAACATTGAAACATGATTTTCCACAACCGCACTTTTTTTACACTTCCTTCTCTCAAAATGTCAGAGGGGCCACAAGAAATGGGTTGTTGTCAGTTGCTTGCTTAGCCTTAACAGCATCTCCAGGGTCAACTACTGTCTGTAGTTCAGACCCATTACAAGCCAACTGCTGCTGAAAATTTAAAAAAGGACCATTCCACCATCCTTTCCTCTTTGCCAGTCTCAATTTTATCCATTTAAGTATCTACTTCTCTCTCATTCCATGAAGGCGAGTGTGAATAAGTTTGGGGATCAGGAAATGCAGGCAACCAAACAGGAATATGTTCACTGGGATGTGATTCACCAACTTGTGCAAAACTCAGTGTTGGCGTTCGGTCCTTAATGACCAGAAAACCAGGAATTAAATACACAAATAGAATTTTCTTAGCTTCACAAATGTACTGAGCAATCTCCTGAACTATACGTGAACCAGAGAGATTTTCTTAGCTTCACAAATGTACTGAGCAATCTCCTGAACTATACCTGAACCAGAGACACTACCATTAATATCCGAAGCACCCAAAAACGCATGCGATGATCCCAAATCTTCCAACTCCTGGACTATATCAAACACGTTACTCTCTGTCCTGCCAGCCAAATTCTTATAGAAACTTGCATTCTTTCCTAATTCACGAATATACCGAACTGCCACATCTGAAAGGGTATTGAGGGCTGACTGCTGGAAGCTCTGAAATCCTACACTCTTGCATACTTGCACTACAGAAATCTTGGGGAAAATTGTTGATTCCTGATATCTTCTTTGTGTGTTTATGCTTGTACTCTGCACCACTTCCCCAACCTCCATTGCTCATATTCAATACTTCATATCACTGCACTAAAAGCAAAAATCCAATAAAAACCAATAATTCTTTTCAAAGATTTTCACAAATTTGATATGAAGAATAATCACTTTAACATTAAATCTTTAACAGAGCAACACTTAAAAAAGAAAAAATTGAAGGGGGAAAAAAAAAAGAAAAAACCTAGACTGTTGCATTTCACCCAGGAAGTGAAACAATTGAACAAAGCAATTGCTATGCTTGTACATTCAACACTTTCATATCACTTCACTCAGGGGTGTCTGTTTTGGAAGGATTGGGAGACTAATAGTCCGCTGTTTGTTTCAAAAGTTTTGCTCCGTACTATTAATTTCATAGGACTATGGTATCCTATAGGAGGGGGGTGGGATAGAAAACATGGGATAATAACCCATCCCATGGGATTAGCTAATAAAATTATATTTTTGCCCTCTGATATTTAATTATGTATTATAGTTAGTAAAATTTAATAAAATTTAAATGTCTCAATTTAAAAATAAAATAATTTTATTTAATTTTTTATAAATATTTTATTGATGCTTTATTTTAAAATTTTGTTTATATTTTATTTAATTTCATTATTTAAATTTTAATAGATGTTTTATTTTATTTTATTATTTCATTATTATTATTATTATTTAAAATAAATCTATTTAAAATTTTAATTAAAAAATAACTTATTTTTATTGATTTTAATTTATTTAATTTTTTAAAAATAAATTTATTTAATTGTGCAAAAAATAAAATAAAATAATTTTTTATTTAATCTAACTAAAAATAATTAAAATATTAAAACTATATTTAATATTGCTACTACTTAATAAATAATTAAAATGGATAAAATAATCATTTATCCTACTCCATAATATCCCAAACAAATATTGGATTCACTAAAAACAATCCAATTCAATCCAGACATCTAATTCCACAGCTAAACAAATATAGAATACAAATCCAGTTTAACCAAATAATCCAGACAATGTATCCAGGACTAACAGTCCGATAATCCCCTTACCCAATCGGTCCAAATAAACACACCCTCCAGGTAAAAATCCAAGAAAGACCAACTCTTTTATTGCTTCAATAATAAATCTTTAACAGACCAACACTTGATATAGAAATATTTAGAAGAAAAAAAAAAAAAAGAAACCTAGATAGAGAGCATGCATACCAGTGATTTGCAGGGCAAATGCTATTGATTCATGAGTTCGGTGTGATAGTAATTGAGCGAATCGTTCAAAGCTCTCTATTTGATTGGAATTGTTGAAGGATTTTAAACCCTAGTTAAACCCTGGATTGGGCGTGTTCCTTATTTTATACACGCAGATTAGTAAAAAATTTGGGTAAATTACACTGACACTCACTTTTTGAAAATTATATCTCTTTCCTTGATATTTAAAGTTTTATTACAGATTTTTTCTCAAGAATTTAATTTTTTAAATACCAATTTTTTCTTCACTGGGTAAATTAGATTGACACCAAATTACAATCTCCTCTCTAAAGTTTAAAGAAGCATTACCAATTAGCCCCTTGGTTAGTATTAGTTAGAAAAAAAAATTTATTGAAAAAAAAATTATTTCAAAAAAAATAATTGAAAAAAAAATTTGTTAGTAAAATTTTTAACTTTCTGTTTAAAAATCAACGTAAACTCATTTTTTGAATTTACGTTTTTTCATCAAATTTACAAATTCAGACAACCATTTATAAACTAAAAAAATTATCAAACAAGTTTTTATGACAATTTTTAAAATTTTTGTAAATATTAATTGAAAACTGAAAACGAAATGATTACCAAACAAGTTCCAAATGGTAAAAAATGTACTAAAATTAATAAATAATTAAATAAATTACTAACGTAAGAAATGACTTATCAACAGATTCTTAGGCTATGTATGGTTTTATTTTTTTAAATTTTTTTTTAAAAATTAAAAATTAATTTGGTTAAGAAATAAAAAATAAAAAATAATTATCATTTTTATATAATTTTTATCTTTCAAGTGGTTAGAAATAATTTTTTACAAATTAAATTGAAACAACCATATGTATGTATATAATCTGCCCAAAAGTTAAAATGATAATTATTTTTTACCTTTCAAGTGGCTAGAAATAATTTTTACAAATTAAATTGAAACAGCCATACAAATGTATATAACCTACCCAAAAGTTAAAATGATAATTATTTTTTACACTTAAATGATAATTATTTTTTTATTTTTTATTTCTTAACCAAATTAATTTTTAATTTTAAAAAAAAAATTAAAAATCAAATCATACATGGTCTAAAAATCTTTTGATAAGTCATTTCTTGCGTTGGTAACTTATTTAATTATTTGTTAATTTTACGATATTTTTACCATCTGAAACCTGTTTGGTAACCATTTCGTTTTCAGTTTCAATTTATATTTACAAAATTTTAAAAACTGTCATAAAAACTTGTTTGATAATTTTTTGGTTTATGAATTGTTGTCTTAGTTTGTAAATTTGAGAAAAAAACATAAATTCAAAAAATGAGTTTACGTCGGTTTTTAAACAGAAATTTAAAAATTTTAATAACAAATTTTTTTTTTCGAATAATTTTTTTTCCCAATTAATTTTTTTTCAATGAATTTTTTTTCCAACTAATACTAACCAATGGGGCAATTAGTAATGTTACTTTAAACCTTAGGGAGGGGATTGTAATTTCTAAAATATGAGGGGTATCAATGTAATTTATCCAGTGAGGGTAAAATTGGTATTTAAAAAAATTAAATTGCTGAGGGAGAAATCTGTAATGAAACTTTAAATCTCTAGGAGGGAGATGTAATTTCCAAAAGGTGAGGAAGAGAACTATAATAAACATAAATCTCAGGGGATTTGAGCGTAATTTACCCTAAAAATTTTCATTAAAGGGGAAATCACACTAATGAAAAATTTTACCAATTTTAATAATTAAAATCATAATTTTTTTATAAAATAATAATTATTTTTTTTAAAGATTCCATTGGGTGTGATTTTCTCTAAAATAAATTACAATGATATTCTCTAAAATTTAGAAAGAATATATTAAGGAAGTGTTTGGGAATTGATTTTTTAGTTTTTTTTTTTTTTACAAAAAAAATGGAATTTTTTAAAAAAAATTTGATATTAAAATTTTATAAGATAAATGACATATAATATTCTTATAATAGTTGGAGTCCTTCAACATTTTCACAGGGAAAATTTGACATAGAGAAATTTTGCTCCGATACAGAGAAATTTCATCGAGGGACCTTATCTAATAAAAATAAAAATAAAATGAAAACAAATTAGGCCTCTCATACTACCCAAAGTTGGAGAGGGATATTTCATTAATTTTTTCTAAAAAAATAAAGGGAATAGATTGATTTTTTGTAGTGACTTTTTGGCTTTACAATTTTTTTAGCCACTTTCCAAACACGTCCTAAGTCTCATAAATTTAATATGATTATATTAAATTCTCTTAATGTTTTAATTCACTTAACATTTAACCTATTTTTCATTAAAAATTCCTTAGTTATAAAAATAATTAATGTTATCATATCTTTTTCATTAAAATGTATATTTTTTTATTATTATTTTTGTATTTTCATACCTTTTGTATTAATTTTGATCACTTTAACTTATATATATATTAATATAATTATGCCAAAATTATAGCTTTTATTATATTTTTTTTAAACCTCAAAAGAGGTCAATATAATCACTACAACAAAATGCACATTTGGCGACTTGATTTTTAGTCGCCAATACATATACATTTGGCTACTAAATGGTTTTAGTCGCCAAAAGGTTTCATTTTCGGCGACTAAAATGGATTTAGTCGCCATTTGTGCAACTTTCAGCGACGAAATTCATTTTTTTAGTCGCCATTGGTGCTTTTTGTTGTAGTGTATAATCACTACAACAAAATGCACATTTGGCGACTAATTTTTTAGTCGCCAAAAGTGTAATTTTTAGTTGCCAAATTCTTTGCCCGACTAAATATTTTGGTCGCTAGACTGGTCGCGGAACACTTGTTGGGGAAGGTATTGGCGACTAAATATTTTTTAGTAGCCAAAAGTCCTATAAATGGTGACTAACATTTTTAGTCGCCTAAAATAAAATCTTAGTCACCAAAAATCTTATTTTCCGCTACTAAAACTTTGGTCGCCAAAACTTGAAATACCTATGGCGACCAAAGTTTTAGTCGCTAAAGGGTTTTTTTCATCTTTTTATTTTTTTATTTTTTTCATTTTATTTTTTTTAGCTACTAAATTCTTAGTCGTCTAAAGTCTACTTTTATTTTAGTTACTAAATATTTAGTAGCTAAAAGTTTTTTTCCATTTTATTTTTATTTTTAGCTACCAAATATTTAGTAGCCAAAAGTTTTTTTCCATTTTATAAATAAAATTATCTATATATTGATAAAATTAGCAACCATTTCACAACACACACACATTTCACTTTCAACCATAAAAAAAAAAAATCATATTTAACATCAAATTAATATTTCCAAAAAAAATTCTATACAAATCAAGTATAATCCAATCTCAAAAATATAATTCCATACATAACAGAGGATTAAACAAAATTAATATCTTATCAGGCTGCTCTAAAAAAAACTCATTGACTAAAACTCATCCTTCAATTATAAATTCAGCTGATGTGTGACGGATGTTAAATTTTGCGCTTTTGTGTGGCGTTGCATTACTGTAGGATTATCCCTCTCTCCCCAACAACCTTTGTTTACTTCTGAACTTCGTCGACCCTCTTTAGACGCCCAAACCCCTTCTTCAAGTAAGGGACAATATACTTTATCATATCATTTTTGGACATTTTGATATGATTTCCGGACACACTGATGTACTTGACTCTCCCAGCTCTGTCCAAGGTCTTCAAGCCAATCCAGTCCTCAATGCAAAAACTTTGTCTGCACACTGATGTGCTAGTGCAATGCTCAAATTAAGGCTTTGGGTAGCAAGTAGGAGCTTTTGCTGATTGCACAGTTGCTGTTGGCTGGCTTATAGCTCTGCTCAAAACAAACATTTCTGGTAGAGATTTGAATGTCAGGATAGTTACACAGGACAACAAAGATTCTAGTCTGACACTCAAAGCTCTGTTTTCTTCAAACTACCTGACAGCAATGCCTCTTTGTAATCTGAATTGGCCTAAAGTGGTTCAGGTTAGTAATTTAACAAAATCTCCAAGACATGGAGAGCAAGAAGCAGAAGTAGATGAATTTCTGAAGTGAAACAAGAGCTAATCAAATGATTTGCCTGATCATTACATAAGCATCAGGTTCCTCAACTTATTGAACTGTTGCTTGCGAGTTGAATTCCTCTGATGAGGGAGTTCATTATTAAGCATTGGAAGAAAGCTCTACATTTTTCTAGATATTCAACGATATTCTGGAGAGAAACAATGATTTTGATAGTCAGGCCTCAATCAGATATGACAGCAAACAAAGTAAAGTTATACCAAAGTATAAAATAAAGAATGCACAACAATTTACATAAATGGGGCAAATGCATCAAAATAAAGATGATAATCTACAATTTACAGAAAAATTCATAAACCTAACACAACAAATGCATAATACATGAACATAACAACTGGTTTACATCAACAACAAACAGAATCCAGGTTACAATAACAAGTATGGAGTAATGAGCCACACAACTCCTAAATTCAACAAGTGAACACAAAAGATGTGTAAAATAAATTGATAGAGAGAGAGAGCAAGTGAATAAATGTGTATATTGAATTTGTTGTTGTAATTACAAAGGGAGCTTAGCTCTCTATTTATAGTTTGATATTGGATGCGAGGCATGCCATGCGAGACGCGAGGCACCGAAAGGCAAGGCTAAAGCTTTAGCCGAAAGTGAACAAACATAATGATAACAATGAACGGATACAATGCTAATAAACAATACTAAAATAATGCTATAAACAATGCTATATTATATACAAAGTATAATAATATACTAACAAGATGCACACTTGTTTGAATAAAAATGGTAGTTACTAGAGAAAGATAAAATGCCTCACATTCCTCAGAGAAAGATCCTTTTCTCTAGCAAGTGCCAGTATTCTTCCAAGTGTTCCAACATCAATGTGAGGGCATTCATTCTTCAGTAGGTCCTTGTGAATTTTAATATTGACACCGCCATAGAAAACAGCAACCTTGATATCTGGCAAATAAGTGCTGAACCTCTCAAACTCATGGCAGATTTGCAGTAATGATAAACACCAAAAAGAAAGAAAACTAATAAGATAGAAATTGGATTGTCTATGCATACATATATGTCTGTGTGAGTTGTTTGAGGAAGAGAGAGTAATAGATGAGGGTTTAAGCCCTACGATTTAGATACATGCCTGGTAAGCTAATTCCCTTGTATGACATAGAACAAGGGCAGCAACTTGACCTGCAACAGGCTCAATTTGCTGCAATGTTGACAGAACAAAAACAGCAGTTTTCCCCATCCCAGATTTCGCTTGACATATGACATCCAAGAAGCTAATCGTCAAAAAATAAAAAATAAATATTGGAAGATGAAAGAAAGGAGAAAAAAAATAGGCAGCTACCCTGACCATGATTTTAAGAAAATATTAAGTATAATGTGTCAACATATTCAATACCAGCAAATAACAACAATAATAATCACTATCTATTTAAAAATAAGCCATAATATCTAAAACTTACCAAAGTGAAACTAAGTAATAGGAGATCCAAGACAACCACAACCAGAAAGTACAAAGCTTATGCGTTTCAATTACAGATGCTCATTTTTCTTTAATCTAAATTCTACAAAAGCCTAAGAAGACAGCTAGACATCAACAGATAGATGAACATGACATTATGACCAAAACTGAAAGAATGAAAGAAAAACAAAATTAATAGTTATTCTAAGACATAAAAAATCTATTTATGAATTTGAATGACTATATGAATAAATATCTTGCCTTCAGATGGATGCTCAAATCCAGAGTCCACAATAGCCCGCAGAAGCTCTAGCTTTAAAAGAAAATCTTTGAATCCGGAGCTGTGAATTCCGACATAGCCCCTACAAAAAATAAATAAATAGGAGAACGAATTAGAAATTTATAGTATATGATAACATTTATCCAGACTGAAACATAACACGATAAGATTTATAAAGATTAGAACATCACTGGAGAAAGATGCAGACTTGACAATTTATACTAGAGCAAAGCATCTACAAAAAAACAACTTAAAAGAAAAATGCAATTTTCTTGTGACAAACTGTGACAATCTTTTCGAAAATGAAAAACCAAAAAAAAAAAAAATTAAGTGGATAAAGATAATCAAATGCATCAAATTGAAAGGGAATAAATCGAAAGCTACCACGATGATAAAGATTGATGTGTGTATATAGTATGTATGTATTGATTTTTAAGATCAATAGTGAAAATCAAAAGGACCAATCAGATCTTTAAGATCCCCACAAGAAACCTCTGAATATTTTGAGAGAGAAAGAGAGAAAGCATACGCGAGACGGAGCATCAATGGAGCAAAGTTCATCTCAGCGATGAAGCCTCTGGATCTCACAGCGGTGGATCTGTGAAGATCGGCGGAGGAGGAGGAGGCGGCGGCGTGAGAAGGAGGTGCTCCGGTTTCCGTCGAAGGCGAAGAAGAGCGGCAGTGAGAGAGGGAGGGGAGAGGAGTAGTGGAGACGGGGAGGGAGAGGGAGAGGGATGCCGAATAGAGAGAGAGAGAGAGAGAGGCGTAGATTATTTTAGGGTTTGGTTTGGTACAAAATATATATATATTATTTTATACAATTGACGACTAAAATACATAATGGTCGCCAATTACTTATATGTTACACCATTAGCGACAAAAGTCTTTAGTTGCCAATTACTTTTATAAATCCCTCAAACTTAAATTAGAAATGTCTCCTTCCAATTTTTTATTTTTTGGCGACTAAACTAATTTTTGGTCGCTGAAAATATGTTTTGGCGACTAAACTTTTAGTCGCCAAAGATAGTTTTTTTTTTTTTTAGTTTTACATTTGGCGACTAAATATTTTAGTAGCCAATACCTAATATACGGCGACTAAACTAATTTTTGGTCGCTGAAAATATGTTTTGGCGACTAAACTTTTAGTCGCCAAAGATAGTTTTTTTTTTTTTTAGTTTTACATTTGGCGACTAAATATTTTAGTAGCCAATACCTAATATACGGCGACTAAACTAATTTTTGGTCGCTGAAAATATGTTTTGGCGACTAAACTTTTAGTCGCCAAAGATAGTTTTTTTTTTTTTTAGTTTTACATTTGGCGACTAAATATTTTAGTAGCCAATACCTAATATACGGCGACTAAACTAATTTTTGGTCGCTGAAAATATGTTTTGGCGACTAAACTTTTAGTCGCCAAAGATA